AAAAAAAAAAAAAAACCTTAACCTTCCGGGCCCTGGAACTTGTGAGCATTGTCCTGCAGGAATTCTTTCCAGGAGCTGTCCCTCTTTTTCTGTTGTCTCTCCACATTATAGGTTTAGAGTTAATTAAAGGGATGGCCTGAGGCTTTGTCGTTTGAGATCCAGAACAGGCTACAGGATTTGTGCTTGGCTTCCCTGTGCATTCTGCTCCTCTGGAGAATACAGAAGATGCAGGAGGGGCAAAAGGCAGAAGGATGTTAATCAGGGACACAGCACAGTGGTAATGAAGGTAAAAAACACCTTGTGTCTTCCCCAGTGCCAGGCACTGTCCCCAATTGCTTCTGTGTCTATGATTCTTCTTTTGGGAAGACTTGGCTGCTGCTTTCCTCATTCAGGCAAGAGATGACATCTACATCTATGAAGTTCTCTGAGTGCCTGTGGTTGCTCCTAGCAACAGCTGAGAACCTGGCTTTACAGGCTGTGTTTCTGACCAGAGCCTGGGATCAAAACCTTCCATGGCCAGCCCCCTCCCCTGCCTGCCCATCCACTGCAGCCTTCCGCATCCTTTCAATGCTCTGTCCACCTGTACCCTGACACCATGCTGTGCTCGGACTAGTCCTGCTGTTAGAAAGATCTTCATCAGCCAGAGCCAAGTTCTTCTTACCCAGCATTCGTACCCACTGATGGAACAATTTCTGTACAGGGTTAGTTTGCCACTTGAAATTCCCACTTAGAATATTTGTCTTTGTTATGTATAGATTTGTTCTTTAGGGATTAGAGAGAGGAGGGGGGATTAAATTTAACTTTCATTTTGAATTTATGTATTTACTAACTGGTTCATGTTGCTTTTGACTATACCAAAAGACACAGAGGGATAGAAGAAAGTGGGCCTATCATCCCGTCATCCAGAAAGCTCTGGGCATAAAGTTGGCCCTCTGATCTGTAGTCTGTATTCTGTGAAACAAACGAGGTTTGCTCTATGCACTGTTTTGAAATCTGTTTTGAAACGTTGACATCTACTGTGGAACTTTTTCTTTCTCTTTCTATTAGTTATTTATCTGTATGAATTTATTCTTATACTGGTAATAGTTTGTATTCTCATTTTTGTGTCTGATTTATATTTCACTCAATGTATTAATCCAGCCTTTGAAAATTTTGCTGGGGTGAAGCCAGGGTCTGAAGTTTCCAGATAATCTTCCTCTGGGGCGGCTTAGTACATCCGAGTGGGATCCACCATGGGTAGCAGGGCCACGGGGCTGTGCAAGGCTTACCAAGGATGGCCCCACTAGCTTATAGTCGGGGACTCACGACCTCCTCTCCCAGCACACCTCTGCCTGCCACGCTCATTTATTTTATCTATCTATCTATCTATCTATCTATCTATCTATCTATCTATCATTTATTTATTTATTTTGTTTTTGTATTTAGGACAGGGTCTATAGGGTCTCACAGCATAGATTGGATTCTTAGTGATTCTCTGTTTACAGCCTCCCAAGTGCTGGGATTACAGGCACAGTACCATGCCCAGTCTCAGTCATAGTCTCAGCACACCCTGGGGGCAGGTTAGGATCGAATTCCAGGCCCCTGTGTCTGCCTAAGCAGGCTCTTTAATCCTCTGAGCTATTTGGCCGGCCCCCTGCCCTGCTCAGAAGGCCCTGTGTGGCCAGCCTTCCTCCCCCACAGAGGCTGGAAGATCCTTTTCCCACTCCAGGCCTAGCAGCATCACAGGCCCTGGATCTTGCTCAGACTTCCCTGGTTTGCACAATGCTGGACCACTTACTTCTCTATCTGGTAGTAGAGCATCCCTCGCTGGAAGTAAGCCACGGCCAGATGCTTGTCCCGGTTAATGCTTCTAGTGAAGGCCTGCAAAGAGAAGGCCAGGGCCAGAGAGGAGTAAGGGACAAGCCAGAGGGTGAGCCAAGCAGGGGTACAAGGATGGCACAGGCCTTCTGGAAACAGGAGGACAACGCCTTGGACCCTCTGGGTCAGGACTCTCTGGGCTGTCACATCCTCACTGTGTAGCACAGGGCAGGACAGCTACCCTCACACACCTTCCTCTATGAAATGGGGATGTTACTATCTGCCTCTTAAGATTAATGGCAGAGTCAAAAATAATAAAATGGATTAAAATTCAAATTGCATAAAACATAATTTGCTTATAATCCAAAGTAGCACATAATTAAAATAATAGAAAACAAGAAAAATACAAATAAAGTACTATTATAAGGACTACAGCAGAACACTAAGCAGGGTAGAGAAAAGGAGAATGAGAGAACTTCGGGGAGCAGAGGTGGGAGGGCAGAGGCAAGCAGGAGAGGGCTGTGATGGCCATAGGATCCACTTTCAGGCCAGGGTGGGAGCGACAGTCCCCACTGGCCCAGCTGGTCCCTCCTCCAGCCAGAGGTGGACACCCACACCTGTGCTTGTTGGGAGCTGAAAACTGACTTGTCACACATGAGTGCATTTCAAGTCATTTGCCCCTTCCTGTCACAAGGATGTGCCCAGACTCATTCACCTGCAGCAAAGGATGACTAGTGAACAAACTGTGTCCCCAAGTGTGCTGGGGGTGTCAGTCTAGTGAGCGCCATGCAAAGCTGGCAGAAAAGGTGAGAAAAAGAACTTCTCTGCAGTGATGTCAAACATACACCACTTTCTTTTTTCTAATAGTGGGGATTGAACATGTCAGGCAAGGGCTGTACTACTGAGCTACACCTCTAGCCTTTTATATCTTCTGTTTTGAGACAGGGTCTTGCTAGGTTTCCCAACGGGGTCTTGAACACACAGTTCTCTTGCCTCAACCTCCCAAGTAGCTGGGATTACACAGGTGTATGCCACAATGTCCATGTATATAGTCACTTAATCCTCATTATAAGCAAATCCTTGAGACGCTAAGAGCCAGAAGTTCATGTGGCTTGCTACTAAAGGCGCGGGGATTTAGTGTTGGGTTCAGTACTAGGTCTTCTGCTTCCTCCAAAATCCACACCCTTTTCACATTAAGATGATTGATTCAAAAAAAGTGGTTACTGAAAACATTTGACTCTATATTAGGATACTTAAGAGATAAAAAATGCTAAGACACCCCACACCATGCCCTTGGCAGACATCAGTAATCAATCACAGTGTGATTTCCTTTTGGCAGTCAAAGAACCCTTAAACAAATGGCTGCATAATTGGCCAGAATCATCACCCTGGGATGAAACCCACTTTTCATAAGTGCCTCTCTTCAGTCTCTTGGGCAGGCGAAGCTGACACACCCGAAATTTGCAGAAAGCTACAGAGGTGCCTACGATCAGGTGCCCAGTGGTGAGACAGAGATCCTATTTCCAGAAGGTGTTTGTACAAAAAAATTAATGAAGAGAGTCTTCATAAAGGTGTTAAAGAGTAATCATAGAATGTTTTGAGTTTAGTAGATGGAGGAGAAAGGAGAATGTACCTTGCAACCCTGGGGAGCTTTTAGGACTATGGCTGCCAGGCCCCTCCCCAGAACAATTAAATCAGCACCCCTGGGGTAAGGCCTGCACAATTTTTATGCTTTTAAAGCTCCCCAGAGGCAAGGTCTCTAATGCGCAGCTGGGGCTGAGAGCAATAATTAGAGGGCACCAGCAGGCAGGGACAGCCCCCACCACTCACCTTCTCCGCCTCAGGCATGTTTTCCAGGATGGTCTGCATGCAGCCAATGTTGAAGCAGATCCGGGAGTGGGGATCCTGGACTGCTTTGAAGGCATCCAGGGCCCCTTTCCAGTCCTTCTTGTCAGCTGCCAGCACCCCTTCATTCCAGAGGCTGATGGCCTCAGCCAGAGACATGGTCAGGTGGAGCCCAGGTGGCGGGCTGAGAGAGCTGCCAGTACACGGGGGCGTAAGGGGTCTCCACAGTGGGATGGCCCAGAGCAGACGTCTGCACCTTCCCCGCCTGCTGTGAAGAACAGAGTTCACTCTCTCTTAGGACAACTTGGTGGTGTTGTAAATGCCTCAGGAAATGTCCCCACCTTCCAGGAACTGACGCACAACCTAGTCGAAGAGAAAAGGAGAGAGGCTAGGGTGGCGGTGGAGGCGGAGGGAGGGGAGGGGAGAGAGGAAGTACATCAGATGGGTCAGTTCCCCAAAACGCTTCTTCTCTGTCAGGCGCTCCTTTCTGTCTCCCAGCCCCTTCTGGAGTCACGGTGGCCTTAACAGTCAGGTTGCTACCTGCACTGCAGCCCACACCTTTGTCAAACAGAGGTATCGGCTGACAGGACAGTGTTTCCAGCCTTCACTGAGTTCCAGGCTCATTTTCTGCTGGTCTCATACACTGGCTCCACATGTTAATTTTTTGAACCAGATAAAAAATTCAACAATTTCTGAGGCAAGATGAATGATCTTGGACTTCTGACATAACTTAGGAACACTCAAAATGCTGAGAAGGAACTGATTTCCTGCAGATGTCCAAAATGGGAGCCAGGTATGCTGATGATTTGTGACTTTCCTGAGCCTTCTGGGCCCTGGATGGATGACTGATGAGTTGACTACTCTCTAAAAAAGCAGATTTGAGATTCCCTCTCTCTCTGCCCTGGAAAAGGGAAAGCCAGTAAAATTTTCCTGAGGAAAATGTGAGAGTAGTGGGTCTAGCTAGTGGGACTTAACAAATATCCTTACTTTTTGCTACACAAAGCTCACATTTATGAGGTAAATACTAACGCTAACTCCTGCTTGTAGCAACTGGAAGAAATCCCTCATCACTCTACAGGGCTTGTAGGGTCAGAAGTGTAAGAGTGACACAATGTACATGTGTCTTCGCACAGAAACCCTCCACTCCCCCACTCGGAAGTCTTGTCCACTTCACTTTTTTTTTTTTTTTTTTTGCCTCCTGAATTCCTACTCACCCTTCAGAGCCCACCCCTCAAGGGACATTAATGTGTCATCACCCCCTGGGGAATCTAGTGCCACCCTCCGAGTGCTATGGAGAATATTCCCTTTTTGTACCAGCTCTTCCCAAGTATTTATTGCGATTTAACTCTTTACCTGTTCAACTCTTAGACCCCTTGAAAGTTGGGACCCTGTTTTCTCTGGGAACTCCAGCACCAATGTTTAGTGAGTGAGGAAGGAATGAAGTGTAGAAGACGTTAGAAGTCGCTGGTAAGTGACCAAAGTAGCAGCAATGCCAGGAACAGATGTTCCTATTCTTGCTGACTCCCTTCCAGTGAATCATCAAAACTTGAATTGCACATTAACTATTCCCAAGAAAAGAATATGGAGCTATAACTAAGCTGGACTTTTTGGAAACAATTTTTCCCTCCATTCCTGGGGGTTAAACTCGGGGATGTTGTACCACTGAATTACATTTCTGGCCCTATTCTGAGACAAGGTTACACGAAGTCACCCAGGCTGGACTTGAACATCAGGTCTTCCTGCCTCATCCTCCCCAGTAGCTGTGTTTAGGGATGTGCACCACATGCCCATGTAAGCAATGGTTTTGTCCTCTTATTTTTTATTATCCTAGCCCCCAACACTCAAAACTCTTGAATTTGACCCCTGTCTGAGTCACTTTCCGTTTTTATTTTGTTGAGACAAAATACCCAATGCCCACAACTTAAAGTAGGAGAGTTTACACTGGCTCACAGACCTTAGAAGTTTCAGTTCGCAGCCCAAGGCTGGCTCCAAGGCAGGGCAGCATGGCTGGGGGAATCATGGAGCAAAGCTGTTCATGCCCTAAAGGCCAAGAAAAAGCGCAAAGGGAGGGAAGCCGGGGAGCTAGATCTTCCTGCTCACAAGTGCTCTGGTTGCTTTTTGACCAAACGCCTCCTCCAAGCAGCACTTCCAGCTGACTCCTCAGCGAGTTAGCTCACTGAGAGCACAGCGCCCCAGGTTCCAATCATCTTCCGAAGCCCTCACCTACGCTTGTATGAGGCTTTTAGGTGACCATAACATCCTGCCCCTGGCCCCCCAAAATCTCAGTATCTTTGTCTTCTAGTTTATTGCCTTCGCCTGACACTTAGAATTTGGGAAATTTGGAGTCTGACCCTGTTTACGGTTCCCCAGGGCCTGGCTCCTGCTACTCTGCGGGCCTGTGGACCCCGGCGCAGGCTCACAGCTCAGGGCCCGCACTAGCGCCTCCTGCTGGGCTGCCTTTCCAGTGCTGCATCTTCTTGAGGTTTTGCTAGCCTTCGGAGCCCAGTCCAACGCCACCTTCCTTCAGATGGTGCCCTAAATTCAGGGCTGCCTGTGCACTCCCGCCTCACCACCATTTCTTCCTTCTGACCTCCACAACTTTTCCCCTCCATCTCCCATGGGGTACTTAGTCGTTTCCACCATGATGGGAGTTACAACACCTCAGGAGGGAATCTTGGGGTTGACTCAGCTGGTACCACTCTGGTCTTTAGGAAAAGCCCTTTAGACCCCAGCTGTTCACTTTCATCTGACCCTCCTGGTGTCACGCCACCAGCACATTGGTTACTAACTCCTTCATCCAGTCTCCACCCAGCAGCCAGACCGAGCTTTTAAACCTTCAGCGCCTTTGCTTGGCTCCAAGGACCCAACCCAAACTCCCCTCCATGGGCGGGAAGACCCCATGGCTGCCACGGTCCCCTGGCCTCAGCCACACCAGCCTCCTGTTTTGCTCTCAGATCGGCCTGGTCTCCCTCTGGTCACTGCCTACCACTGGTAGAATGGTTCCTGTCCCCAGCGTGGGGCAGTTTGGTCATCACCAGATGCTGTTTGCAGGGGGCCTTTCCACTGCTGTCCAGTCACCTTTTCCTCCTTTTGTCAGGAGACTTCTTCCAATTCCCTCAGACCACAAGATTTAGCAGTTTAGACCCCAAACACTGCCCAGAAAGTGGAGGGTGCCTAAAACTTGACTGTTTTAGGCACAAGAACAAGACAGAAAGAATTCTGGTCAATGAGCTTTAGAGGAAGTCTGCTGGGGATTTGAGGATTTCTTTCCTCACTGAGCAGAAAGACACATGCAAAGAAATAGTACTTGTTAACTCTGTATTGTGAGGCTGTACCTAACACAGTGGCAGCTATCTTGTGACCATGAGGAAAGGCAACTATAAACAAAGTATTGTAACAAGGAAAAGACAATGAGAAAATAAAGGAACTCGGATCCGGATGGTTGGTGACTGTTTAAGTTAACAAGCTTTGGAGGTCACTTACTTCAGGATTACTTGTTTGGTTAGTTAGTAAATGTGTTTATTGTTTAAAATCACTTACATGGGATTTTCTTTTTCTTGTTTTGAAATTGTCAAAAACTTATTATAAAGAAAAAATCATTAAAGCATATACATAAAAAATTAGCTATGGAAGAACAAAATTAAATAGCATCATATTCCACATTAGAAAGAAAAGGAAAAAAAAAAAAGACCAAGTATGTAAGAAACTAGACTAATTAAAGGACTGTAAGAAAAAAAAAAATCTGTCCTCTCTGAATTTTGTACTTAGCAAACATACCTTTGAAAATTAAAAGTAAAAAAAAGTAAAAGTAAAATATTTTCCAGTTATGCAAACTTGAAATATTCTAATATCTCCAGACGTAGCATATAGGAAATAACAAAGAGCATAATTCAAAAAGCAGGAGAAGTTGCAGTATGCTCCTGGATGAACAATAAAGAGCTCTCAAAATGATAGTTATGCAGGACTATGTAAAATATATTAGATGAACCCTTATTTAAAAGGTCATTAAAGATTTCTATGAAACAGTACCAATCTTATGTCATGTTATACATATTTTTTTTCATATAAATGTGTGTGTATGTGTGTATAAAAGGCAGGGAAGAAGCAATAAAAGGCAATGGAAAATAAAAATTTACTTTTTAAAGTTTCTAATACTAGGGGAAAATATCATACCATGTCTTTTAAATAGATTGTAAGTCAAAGATATAGTATAAATCTTAAAACAGAAATTAAGATTAAGCAATATTCAGAAAATTAAATACTAATTAACTAAAAATTAAATGTTTCAAAACAATTGAACTAAGAAAAAGTTTTCATGATAGTGAAGCAGTACTAGGGATATAAACATAATAAAAATACTGGAATGGCAAATAAATGACCCTCACTTCTAACAGTTTGGGGATAGGATATCGCACAAAGTTCTAGTGTGTTGTGGACTTGGATAATGTCCATGACACTCCCTGGTGGGGGATTTTCTCTTAGTAGTCATGTAAAATATTCTGGCAAACACAGCACTGTGTTGTTGTGGTATCGGTTGGCTAACTCAATGTTTCAGCTCAGTGTCTTGAAAATTATCCTCAAATTCCTAATAATTAGCATTTCTGTATAATTAGCTATCATCAGTTCACATATTCCTATTGGCTGTATCCACTCAGCTGCATGGGAAGGACATTGCCTGAGCCTTCTCTTTTCTTTGAGGAGAGAGCCTACAGAGTCAAAGTAAAACTCGCTACTCTTTGGCGTGGTCTCAGTCTTACTTCCTCTTCCACACTCGTGGAGCTCACCACTCTTTGATCGTTTGCTGGTTTCTAGGACACGAGGCTTCTTCTGAGGTCCTCGAAGAGCAGTGCCTCTCTCCACAGCCTTCCAGGCTCCTGTCGTATCCAGTACAATCCTGGGCACGCGGCAGGGGCTCCACAAACACTTAGCAACTGGTTCAGCAAACACGAAAGCATGAGGAGATACACCTTACATGAAAAAAACAACTGGAGAGCTTCTTTTCTGGAGGCTTGGCCAAGGAAGCATTTGTTACCACACTCTTTCCTGTTATTGTCAGAATTTACTTCCTTATAGTCATATTCTGTTGGAAGGAAGCTGGCTTTTTTCAGACCATGAGGACAGGCAAGAAAATGCACATCTCTAGACTTTCAAAAAGTGTCAAAAAAGTGTCACCTGATTGGGTGAGGCCCACCCAGGCTCTTCTCCCTTCTGATAAGCTTAAAGTCAACTACTAAGGAGCATGAATCATTGCCTAAAAATACCTTCGCCTTTGCCATATTCTAGAAGCTATCACAAGTCCTTCCCACTCAGGGCAAGGGCATTA